AGACAGCCATGCTGGCTGGGGAATTCTGGGAGTTGAAGTCCACACGTCTTCAAGTGGCCAAGCTTGAGAAACACAGTTCCGTTGCATCTGATGAAGTGAGTTGCTGCTCACCACATCTTAGGCCTTTTAATAAGACGTGTTAGCTTGAGAAGGTGCTACCAGATTCCTCCTGACTTCTTCTTCTTCTTCTGTGTCTTCTTGGGTTGAGTGATCGCTATCTGGATCATTTAGGATTCAATGGATTCACTGGAACATGGGTCAGCTCAGGAACCCAGTTAAGCACGTTGTGGGAACCTACGGCAATGGGAAAGCTGTTAGGCTGGAAGCCAAGAGATTCATGATCCAATCCACTCTTAACCATAGAACTGTACTGGGTGATCCAGTTGTTATTTATGAGCAACACCTACCTCACAGGGTTGTTGTAGCAGGGAAAGAATTGGGCGGCTCTGTAGTCTTCCTTGAAGCACCTGGAGGAAACATGGAGTAAAAACAAATGAAGAAAATAGATAAATACAACATATTCAAGAGGGTTTCCACCCAATTTGGGAAGATGGGCATTATTCTTATTCTTACGGGTAATCTACAATTAGATTCACCGTCAGGCTGGCAAAAACTTAATCATTCAAGTCCTAACCAAGGACCTAAGAATTATTGAGGTAGCGTCTGAGGATATAGGCAGTTCCAATCAGGGTATTTTTTTGTAAAATTGAGGTGTTCAGGACTGATAAATTCCAAATTTCCAAATATCGAGGGAGTCCTTTAGGTATTGCTCCAAGAGCTCCAATCACGATTGGTATAAAAGCGGATTTCTTATCATCGTTTGTTAAGTTTGGGGTGTTCTGTGGCAGGTGCTTGTCAGTTTGAATTCTCAAGTCCCAGAGCATCTTCATTTTCTATTACTTTGTCTGTTTTGTGGTCCCACCAGTTCTTGCTTGCAGGCAGATGGTATTTCTTGCAGATCTTCCAATGCACCACTGTTGCTACCTTGTCATGCCGTGGTTCGTAGTCAGTCTGTGTGATCTTCTTGCAACAGCTGACTTGGTGGTCCACTGTTTCTTCAGCTTCTTCACAGAGGCAGCATTTGCTGTCTGTGGCTGTCTTCTCGATTCTGGCTTCGTATGCATTTGTTCTTAAGGCTTGGTCTTGTGCAGCCAGAATTAGCCCCTCCGTCTCTTATTCTTATTATTCTTATTATTTGTACACCACCTGGCTCCCAGTGACTTTGGCAGTCACAAGTAACAACACAGGAAAAAAAGCCCCCAAATTTTTAAACTCCCCAAAACATAAAGAAGGCTTTGTTCCTTCTTCACAACTTGGCAGTTATACAAGTTCCCAGTGGCTTCATTCCCATGACCCAGTCAACCTGGCGCCTGAATTATCCCATTTTCTGGGCACTGAATCATAAACGAAGAAGAGGTGGTTGCCAAACAGGCTAAGCTGTGCGAAAATTACCGCTCACCTCTTGCTAGAGATACAGTTGCTTGGTCTGCTAACCAGGTGAGCCGGTTGAGTAGATCATATGAGTCCAGCCACTTAGATGATGAGCTACGCTAGGGAGCACCACGATCGTGCAACGCTTTGGGTTCAGTCTGGAGTGGTGCTTCGGAACATGCAGCACCATGAACACAGCACTTTTCTTTTCCTGATTGAATTGGAAACACTGCAGCACCCCGGGGAATATCCTGAGACAGCACAGCAAAAAGGGACATGGGCCTATTCTATCGGCAGCTGCTAAATAGTCTAAAAAGTTAAAGGGTGGGAACAGTGTTAGTCTGTACCGTTTTCATAAGGCTACTATACCTGCAAAATCCAGAAGTCTACTGGGTGGCAGAAGAGAGTCAGTCTCCCATATTTCTTTGCTGCCATCTAGTGATTCTCTGGATCCTTGCAACTCAGATTTGTAAGAGTTTTAGATATGAAATGCTCATGGCTGAGAAGCCCTTGGGCTTGCTGTACGTCGGGCAGGGCAAGAAAAGTGCAGTCTGGCTGCAAAGTTGGCTTCTGGTCAGGGTAGTGGGTATTAAAGGAAACATTAAGCTCTTGTTCAAGTGTCTACACTTACACAGATTTATTCTGATTGCAAAGTTGGCTGTAATTCAAGAAACTGTGATATTTTACTTCGCCCCAGCCTTCCTGAATCTGATGCCCACCAGATGTTTTGGACCAACTCTCAACTTCTGTAGCCAGCATGGCCATTGCATAGAGCCCAAGAAGTCACTATTTATAGGACCTATGGACTTTGTTGCTTTTGGCAAAGGGCACGCAACCTGATACTTGACTGAATTGGCACAGTCCTATTTCTCACTCGCAAACACCTTTTCCAACCTGTGCAAATGATGTTGTTTTGTCATATAACCATGTTCAGAAGCAATGTCTCTGGCTTCTGAAATTTGCCAGGTGAAAGCCATCCTTCCATCACCTTTGCAATCCCAAAGTCTGCCTTAAAAGATAAAAAGCTCTGATTTTTATGAAGGGGCACCCTCCGTATGATAAGATCAACAGTCCCTTCTCTGCATGTGGGCAGAATAACCATTCCCACCCAGCCTTGTATGTAACCTATCTGTGCAGGTTGAAGAACCATCTCCCTTAAAAAAAGGTCAGTGATGAACCCAGCACTTTCTATCAGAAATTTTGATTGTTTTATTTTTATGGGACCATTAGTCAGACCTCTCAATGTCCATCCGTACAACCAAGCTGGCCCTCTTCCAACCTCTGGGTCAGGAGGTGAGGGCAGAATCCAGAAACTGTTGCAATGGGGATAATTCCCGATGCCGACACTGCAATGCAGGGTCTATGCAGAGTCCTTGAGAGAGGGAAGCAGATGCATTCGTAGCTCCCTGACTTTGGATAAGAAGGTCACTTCAGAGAAATCTATCTGTTCCAGCCACAGAAAGAGTTTCTAAACAGCGTAGATACTCTATGCTGTGTATATACATCTTTTTCCATTTGGGGGCGGCCTGATCCTGTCAAATTAGCAAAATGTTCGCTCTTGATCTTGGGGGAAAATCAATCATGGTGGTTGGTGTGAAATTCATTTTCTCTTTGCCTTTGTAAATCCCTTTGGGTCTCTTACACCTAATCCAATGTCTGTTTGCTTGGAAGAAAACCCCACTGAGTTACCAATGGGTTTCTTCCCAGGTGAGGCAGCATAAGATTGCCACTTAAATTGCTGAATGTTGGTTTAAAAGCAAACCCCTAAAATCATAAAGAGCCTGGATCACCCCACACATGGACACTGGTCAGAGAATAGGGGGTGGTTGCAATCACTTATGCAGTTAATATCAATATCAGCGAAATCAGCAGTTTCAACAGAGCATTTGTGTTCAGGTTGCACACAGCAAGACTATGTGGTTTCCAGAGTTGTTGTGTATCTCTGTGTAGGAGAAGTTGGAAATTTAAGTCTTGGAACAAAAGATCCAACATCTGGATACCATTTCAGATTGCATGGAGGAGAAGACAGATGTACCTAAATCAGTGTTTTTCAACCTTGGCAACTTTAGGATGTGTGGACTTCAACTCCCAGAATTCCCCAGGCAGCATAGCTGATTTAAATAGTTTGAAAAAAGGCTACCCCAGATGCAAAGGCTACCTTCCTCCTATACCAGTTACAGTTACACTGATGACAATTTAAGATACGCACTGTTATTTTTTCATATCAAAAGGGAACCCAAGTTGTTACCATGTTAACAGAGGCATTTAAAATGGCTTCATTATGCATGTATTAATAAAGACAAAACCTTTTCACTGGTTAAAACAGCAACTGCTTAGCATGCAGGTTTTAAAAACACTGGTACACAGTTGTATTGCGAAAAACAGGGTGTTAAATGACACCCTGGGGAAGCAGGGTGCAGTTCAGAAGTTGATTGGGCATACAGGCATCCAAAATTGGGGAAGTCCATTTTTAGGGGTACGTATGTTTTGGTTTAGAGATTCTGTTTGAAAGTGACTAGTTTGAATCTCCAAACTGAATTGACCTCCCAAATCAGATCATCATTGGTAAATGGAACAGCTTCTTTTTTTCCAAATCAAATCAACTGCCTGAATTGGGTTGACTTGATTCAACCATCTGATTTAGAAATCCAGATTAAATAGATCTGGAGAACCAACTGATGATGTGAATTGGCCTTGAACTAATCTGCAGCTACTGTAGATCAGGGTGAAACCATATGTATGTAGCTTCATACTGAGATTCCCATGTTTGTCAACCCCAGGTTTATCTTGTCAAGCCAGATCAGTAAGAAGTATAATACTAGAGCATACATTTGTGGGAAGAATGTTCCAGGCTCAATCTCAGAATTCCAGTTCAACAGAGCAAACATCATCTAATAAAGAAAGACTTTAAAAAATTGCCAATCATTTCATATGATTGCTTGTGAGGATAGAGAAATTTTATCATATATATATATTTTCAATACTAACATTTAAAAATATTTATGGAGGTAAATGTAGGGACATCTGCAAAGGGAGGGCAAATACTTCTAACTGTTGCCAAGATGACAACATGGATGCAAGAGAAGGAAGACCAACTTGAATGTAGCTTGGATTGATTACAAGAAGGCATTCGACTCCCTGCCACATGTCTGGATAATCAAGTGCCTAGAAACAACAGGAGTCAGTAGAAACATCAGAAGCTTTGTGCGAAGACCAATGGCACA